AGCACCACCTCATGCTTTAAATGAGGTCCAAAGTGAACTGAAGAGTTGTCATGAGATCTGGTATCTGCGGTCACAGGGCTTCGTTGGCTTTGATGGACCTAAGATAATGCACTTGTGCTGTGAATACATTAACCTCCCTTCTTTACCATACCTGACACTTACAGAAAGTTATAAAAAAAAAAAACCCAGGGGTTTATTTGATTTTAATCAGAAACTTTGGTTTCCCAAAGGCTGTGAACAAAACATGAAGACTTTTTCAAAGTCTCTTTAACTTTTTAAAGTTAAACAGCAATAACTCTTTTCCTTCGTTATCCTATTAAAAATTAAAGTAATTACTTAACGAAGTTTGAAAATGCTTAGAATGTTGGAAATACTTAGTCTTAATAAAAGACAGTGAATAACATAGCTATTTTTAACTAAAAAGGTTGTTCTCATACACAATGTCATCTTAACATAATCTACTTTTTTCCACTCATTCCTTTCTCCTAGCTGGATTTTTAAGCTGTTGCAGTTTCCAAGTAATGAAGAAAAATGACACTTAATCCACACACTGCTCAAGATGGCAGTCTTAGAGCATCGATACTGCATCTGTAGCTCTACATTAGAGAATTGTAAGTGAGACCAGCTGGTTGGACTGCATGTAGACTAGTTTGTTTATTATAATTTGATTGAATGCATGGAATCTATACCTGATTGTACTGAGTCCGCCTTGCCTTCTACTGTGATGCCTCTGACAGGTTTTACATTGACATTCCTTCTCTGTAGAGAAGACTCCTGAGCAAATTCATAGGGAGGAGCTGTGTCATCTATTAATAGACTCTAGGGTGTACTAGATTTTCTAGACTTGTAAAGACCTGTTTTATTTTCTTTTTACTTTTAAATTCCTGGTTCTAGAAGTAGTGCAAATCAAGAAATTGCTCTTAGTGAGGGCAAGATGTAGACATAACAAGATGCAGCAGGAGTTCAAGAAATATAAAGGGTTTAACTAGATATTTGATAGAAGAAAACCAATGAAATCTCATACGTGCAAGGACAGGGACCCTGGTGGTACATGCTGAATTATATCCGTTTTGGTGTTCTAGATTGGCAGCCGTTCTCAACAGCAAATACATGCCATCACTTGTTACTTTTAGTGCTCTTTTCTAAGATATAGAGCCTAATAGCTAAGGTACCCAAAGTAAAGAGTTAGCAAAAATATTTGCAGGTATTGGGAGAACCGATCAAGCTATTATCAAGAGATTATAAGGTTCCTGCCTGTAGCTGAGATGCAGGATGAGGAGAGCTTGACAAATGTTCAGACAGTCACACTAAACTGATTATCTATGTTAGAATTGTCCTGTGGTTTTTGGAAGCATTGTAATCGGGGATTTGAAAGTGATTACCTTGCTGAATTCAAATGTTCAGACCAGCACAGGAGGGAATACGGTCTGCTGCAGCTCTGTGCCCTTTGTGTATTTCAGACTTGGCATTTGCCTTTTCTGTATAGGTAGCTGGTGCTATAGCAGTAGGAATTCCAGGTAGTTTTGTTTTGTTTTTCAGACAACTGAAGAACAGTTGTATATAAGTATTCTACTTTATATAGTATTTTCAAAGCTTGGATGTTGACACAAACTTTTTTGATTTTTTGATGTGCCGTGAGGTATTTTCATGAATAGCTGTTCAATAAATGTTCTTATTAGGAAAATTCCATGCAAGCACTCATCTCTTAAGAACAATTGACTGCTGCACCTGAGCAGAACTTCAGATGTTCAAAAGCCACACATGGCTCAGGAGTCCTGGACTGTCATTATCCGAGCTATGCGTTTGATCCTTTTAACTGTGGTGCACATGTACAGGCAAGAGAACTTGCATTCCTTCATTTCAGTATAAATTTGAGTGTTTATCCTCAATCTGCAAGAGATTTAAGGATTGCTTCTGTTATTGAAACTAACATTTATATATATATATTGTTTTTTAAAAGGAGATTAGATTGATTCCCCCCTACCCCCTCTGCTTTTCTGTCACTGTCTTCATTAGCTTGTTTTTGGTTTGCAGCAAGCCTCCTAGGGTATCTGTAGGCAGCACAACGCATTACTGAACAGATGCATGTATTAGAAGCATGAGCTTGTAGCTATGCTATCATGCCACTCCATCCAGATCAGTTTGTATGTAGGCAAAGCTCAGTGCACGTGATGGCCTTTTACAGTAAGTTTTGGCCATTCTGCATTAGCAAAGTTGTATGCCTCTGTGTTTATGTGTCTAACAATTCCGCCTATTTAGAAATCTAAAAAGGTTCTTCAGCTTCTTTTGAGGAGAAACAGCTTCATCCTGGAAAACGTACAGCTAAGGTGCAGAGAGGGTGACAAGAGATTGCTTATTCAAACTTTCCCACAAGAACAAGGGGACATGAAACGAAATTTTAAGTGGCACTGTAAAACAAGGAAGACTTTTCGCCGTGAAGTGTATCTAAACTGGAGAGCTTACTGTGACTTTGTGGACAATGACATTATGATGCATGTAAAGCCTGGTTAGGCAAAATAATAGAAGAAAAATCCATCAATCGTTGTTGAAAACAAATACCATGTCTGGCTCAGGAGATCCCTGTGCCACGAAATGCTGAGAGCTGTACCGAGGGATGCTTGCATTGCTTATCAGTGGTCAGTAGCTTCAGACATGAGTTTACGAACAGTATCCTGGGTAGAGTCCTTGGTCTGTGTTGTGTGGTTTTTTTTTAAATGGCTGTCCTGATGATGTGCTCTCTCTAATGTTGCATTTTCTGCAGCTTACAGTGCTGAATGTCTGTTGTATTTCCTATCCACAAGTACATATCAACAGATGTCTTTATTGCAATAATGTAAAAAACTCACTGAATCAGAGCCTTCCTCAGAGGAAATGTATATACATCTTTACTCATCAGCTGAAAAATTGCATAAAAAGTTCAGTTTTCAATCCTAAAATAAAAATGCAACTGTAATTATTGTTTTAATTAATATAATTCCTTTATTATGTTAAGAGCTCCCTGATTTCATTTATTACAACTTTTATTTTTTTCAACTGTTGAATAGAAAAGAAACCCCTTGAAATGGTTGTACCTGAAAGTCTCAATCTGGTGAAAGAATGGCACTTTAAATGCAGAATAACAACTTTTAAATTTGCTTTTGCCACTGAGAGGACCTGACTTCAATTATAGCAGATAATATCTGGAATCAATAATATCTTCTCGTCATCTGTTAGGAGGAGAGGAACAACAATGTCTGCTTCATTAGTTCTTATATGCAGATCTCCAGTTATTTCAGGCATAAAGATTTTAAGAATATAACCCCAAGCAAATCTTTGAAGTGGGCCACTCACCCCTGTTACCAGCTAGTCAATTCCTTTTCTATCAGAGCATCTTGCTCCCTGTCAAAACCAGTCCCTCTGACACAGTGTTCCCACCCTCCAAATCTCTTATTTTCCAGTGTGTCTTTACCACATTTCTGTGTGGTTCATATACTACCTCTGACAGTTGGGGCATCATGACTTAGGGCATTGAACTGGAGTCTATTTTTTACTCCAGCATTTAGCATGCACAATATGGCCAAGTAATTATTAAAGTAATTATTGAAGTAACTTATATTTTTCTACCCTGTATCTTTTCCCCCCTTTCCTCTTTCTTCAGTTGAAGGACTGTTTTTTATTATGTGAAACCTGAGTCTGCTGTTGTGGTACAAATGCTCATTTCTGAGGTATTAATAGTTGCTGTAGATGTTGCTTCTACTGCTATTGATTCCTTTATAAGCGGGGGCGTACATCCTGCTACTCAGCCAGGAACTGCAGTGTACTGTGTGTCTCCTTTCACAGTGTTGAGCTTAATTTCAACTTGTGACAGGGGGACATCTTCAGCACCATGTCACATTGCACCCTTTGTGGGGAGACATTTTCCTCTTATAAATGGCGTGAAGGTAGCCATGAAACCCAGCATGCTCTTGGTGAGTCTCAAATGCTTCTTTATAATGCTAACTCACATGTAAGATTTGAATGCACTAGTTGCAAGTAGAAAAAGAATCTTGTTTTATTTTTCAGAACAGCAATGCTCTCTGTGCTGTAGATGAGCAGAAGGTGAGTTCCTGCACCAAAAACCTTAATTTAGGCTTTAATTAAGACCTTGGGCTTGAATTACTCTTTTTATATGCCAGGCGCTGGCGTATGTAAAATTGTCCAACAAAGTGAGCGCAGGCAGTGATTTGGATGAGAGCAGAAAGATGAAGTTTCTTTTGAGAAGCTGAACATAGGAGTTCCATTAGATTATTCCTTTTCTTTCCTCTTTTTCCTAATTGGAATGGTGGTCTGATATGAAGGGTCACACATGCCCTTGTAGTGAAGAACTTTGTGAAACACATAGAAAGGATGTCTTGTAAGGTCTTACGTCACATTCTTGATTGAACTGACTCTGTTCTATTGAAATGTAGAAGAATATTAAGAAAATATTAGTACATTTGATTAGTTTTAGCAGTTAATCACAGGCAGGTAACTTGTTGTTTCATAAAGGTTCGTCTCTTTCTGAGTATCTCTCCATAGCTCTCTGAAATGGGTTGTTTCATAACTTGGGATTCACTGTACCTACAGTACCCTAAAAATTTTAAGCTTGGCATTAAACCCGAAGATGCTTTAATATTGCATGTCACTGTAGTTCTCACCATATGATTTCACCTTCTGTATGGCTTAGGTTTTTGTACTGTGTTATTGTCTTGCTTTCTTATCTTCTGAGGACCCTTTGGCAGCAAGAAAATATTTAATAATGCCAGTTAGCTGCTGTATTTGAACTCAGTTTCTAAAACACTTCTGAGAATATATCCTCCTACAAACTTTTATTGTGGAGTTCCACATTTCTCCTGTGGCTGAGAGGTGATTGAAGAGGGCATCAATCACTATGCCTGTGCTTGAAACACAAACAGGACATTTATATGACCTTCAGGTACTACAATGACAAAAAAAAAATGTACCTAGATGTAAGTGCTTTTGATACTTAGCTTCCTGGGGACATGCGTGTGGACAGCACATCTGCAAAGACTGCAGATACTGGTAGGTGAGCTATATTCAGAGTGGATTTCTCTTCTTCTGTCTGTCCTCCTTTTCTAGGGTCTCTGCTATCCAGTTGCAATGGAAGTGAGAGAAGGTGATAACCCCACCAGCTACTGTTATAAGAATGAAAATGGTGCATATTTGATATACATGGCTTGGTGAATGCTGTATATATAAAAAGTCCAGTTCTGAGTGTGATAGATGTGTACTGCTCTCAAGTTAGGTTGAGAACAGCTTGAGCCACGGTCACTGCAGAGTGATTATGTACTTATTACTACTAGGAGAAAGAATTAAGGAGCATCTGCAAAGTGTTGCAGAACAATGTGGTCATTGGAGGAAAGGGCGAGAGGTTCAGTACATCAAATTGATATCATGGCTTGGTTGAGCACCCTTGGTCCTAGCTGAACCACTGAACCCTGGGATCTTCTCTGGTGGAACTGTAACTACCTCCTTCCATGACTTCATCATTATCTTCCCTGTAGTCTACTTATGTATATACCCCACAGATAAACTAAAAAGACATGAATAGCCACCTTCTGTCTCTATTCCAATTCTGTAATGCGACTTGATCAGTAGAAAGTTAGCCGAGTAAACATTTGTGTGATAAGTTTATTTGTGGATCCCTGTGTTTTGCGTTAAATTCTCTGCTGCTCTGCAGTGCACTTCTGTTTAGAGTGGCATTGCTAAAGACCATGGGCTGCCTATTTTGAGCCTGACTTCTCTGCAAGACCTCTGCAAGAATCCAGCCAGAGTTTTGTGAGTGGATCGGGTGAATGTGCTGGCTCAGTGGTACAGGTGATGCTCTCATTTCTTTCTTTCTTTTTTTCTGGTACTCTGCAGGCTATCCTAGAAGATATTTCAAGGTAGACATTTTTGTCTTCCATACATGCTCTGAAACAAATTCTAGCTATTTTCTACACTATATCAGATTTCAATCTTTTTTTGTTCTAAAAGTTTTTTTAAACTTCTCTTAAAAATAGAAAAAGAAAAGAAAAATCTTCAACAGATCTAGTAACTAAGTAATAAAAACTGAATGTCACAGCAAAGTCAGATCATAACAATGTGACAGGATATATTGGCTCTTAAGGAGAAAATTACTGTCATTTTTTTATCTCATGAAGTTTAAAAATAAGACATCACACAAGGGTTTGGTTTTGCATGCTTCTTCTGTTAATTCCTTAATTTTATTTCAGTGGCTGTAGGTGCTATTTTGGCAGGCTTCATAATTTAGTTTTGCTTCTTGCAAGCTAGAAAGGTGACCAGGATGACTCCTCTTATTCCAGTGTCACAGAGGAATTTATACATTGTCTTGATATTCAGGGAGTTTTGTTTTTATTTTAATCTGTTCATAGTTAATAAGCTGTTTTAATTTTTAGATCTTTGTATAAGAATTAACTGAAAAATTCTCATTTTTCAACCCTTAGACAAACCTTTCCAATGTACAAATGCTGTCTTGCAACTAACTCTTTTAAAAAATAGTGTACTTGATTGTGGTGGGGGAACCAAAGTAGCTCTTTTTATTTCATAATGCTTATCTCGGGGTATTTTCTTTGAATATCTTGGAGACTAGGAGCACCAAAATGAACAGAGATTGATTCAATACACATGTCGGGGGTTGGAGTGGGGGAGAAGCTCAATGCTATAAATACTGGTCACATGTTACATCAAACTCTTAGGGACTGCCCAGGCACATAATCTCACAGGCTTTTTTTGAATGGATAAATACAGACTGTGGGTTAAGCATAGGGGTGATTTAGCAATGACTGAAGTGATGATTGAATTCAGTGAGTTTTGAGGGCTTCAGATTCTGAGGAAAGATTTGGCAAAAATGTACTTTTTTACATTTTGGTACATGCCATCCTATGTATAAACTGTATCCCGTTGGTTTACTCTTAAAATCTGGAACTTTCTGGCAAAGATTCATGAATGAATCTTCAGTTTTCGTGGTTGCTGACAGCTAATCTCTCAAGCTGCCTTTGAACAATGTGACAAGCACAGGCGGTGGATGACAGGTTATATTGTGTTTGAGTGTAGTCTCTGCCTGTGGTGGGAGAGACCTCCGACAGCAGGCAAGAGCTGCCAAAATGGATTGTTGTGACTCAAAATCTTGCAGGTCCTTTGGTGGAAGAGTAGTTACTTTATATGCATATCTGCATCCAGGGGGTTTCCTTTTGGCTTTTACATGTGAAGATTTGTTCTCATGCCTCTGAGCTCGTGTATTTTTTACTTTGCTGTGAGATTTGGGGTTTCCTATCTAGATGGATAGAGATTTGATAGCAGCAAGACTGCTGTTAGGTCACTAAGTAATTTTGTGCATCGTGCCCTACTGGTACTGGCAGAAGGCCGTTTCCCTCTTAAACTTCAAAGTTAAGGTCCAAAAGAATATTACTATACAGAGAATCAAAATCACTATTGCTTGGTCTCATGGCCTGAATTAGATAATATATTAAGTTCAGAATTTCAAATACAGTAAGCACAGTGTTGAATAGCTGACCTGCTATCTAGCATGTTAATGGATTTTTAGCGTTTGTAGGAATGAGCATTCTGAGTGGCTTTTGAGAACTATATTTTTGGTTCTGAGTGAAAAAAATAGCTGGCTATTTTTTTTAGCACTAGCAATACAAGACTTAAAATTTGACCATTGTAAGTACTTGGTAACATATGTGCTCTAGTGGACATTCTGTTTCTGAGGCATGTTTTATCTCCAGCAAGGGAAGCCCATTTCTGTAGCTCTTGTCCCAGCTTGAGCTCATGGCCTGGGATTCACTGGCTTTGGGGAGGCTACAGGGGAGACTGTGTGCCCTTCATATGTTTTAGTGAACAGCATGCTTTACTGGTCTCCACCCCCTAACTATTTCCTCACATTTGGAATTATACGAAGTATTGGGTTTATAGCATCCATTAAGCACATGTGAAATAAGGTTTTCCTTTTGTGGTGTGTGGGTGGTATAGATAGCAACAAAAATATTGGCACTTTCAGCTTGCAAAATTCTAAGGTTTGATATGTGTTAATGTGAGAATTTGGAATAAAACGGTTTCTGTCCTTCAGGGTAGTTATGGTCTAGCTAACAGTGTTCTCCAGTACAAGCTTTCCATTCATGTGTAGTAGGTTTTTAAGTGTTTTGGGTTTTTTCAAGTCCGGTATTTTAAATTTTCTTCTCATAAAAGTGGCTTAACCTCTGATTCTTTCTACAGCTTATTAAATTTCAGTAAGCCTGTTTGTTCTAACACTTAACTTCTCCTGTTAATATACTATTTTTAAGATGAATAATTTATATTTTAATCTTGTAAATAATTGAAACTTATTATCATTTTCAGTAATAGCTGGTTTTCGAGGGACAGTCCCACATGGCATATCACTGGAGATTGGAGACACCGTTCAAATATTAGAGAAATGTGATGGTGAGTTCACAGGTTGGAATTCCAGGGATAATGAAGTTTCATATACTGTTGATTTGAACCCCATTACTATTCATTTACTTTCTTAAATTAACACATTCTTGAAATCAATAATATAATACATTTTGGCCTCTTCATTTCTTTCACAATTCCAATGAGCTCTAATCCCTATAATAATGAATTTGCAGTTCATTCCTTTTATTTAATCTCTGTTTAATAAACATTCATAGAGGACAGCAGTTAAAACAGCAAGTTCTCATTGTGATTTTTCTGCTTTCTTGGTGTTCCCAAGGGAAGCCTGGCTGCCATCAAGACCCTTTCAAATGATTTCAAAGTCCATAAGTTTAAATGTTAAAGCAGTGTAAACATTCTTTTCTAGCTGTTCTGAGGAAGAGAATGCTAATGATTTTAGCAAGTGTCCATTACTAGTGCATGAGAAAAAGTTGCATTTCTTTCATAATCTACCTCCTTAATACATTACCTAAGGCTTGTCTGTCAATGATTTTTTGATTATTTATGATTATATAGGTATTTTTTGGTTTCATATCAGGATTATATACTGTTAACCTTGTAAGAAATTTTCTTACAGAAAGCACAGGATCTGTTCTTTTGAATCGGGTGTATTATGATTTTTGTATAGTAATGTGCTTGATAGATTTAGAACATGAAGTCCAAAAATGATTTGTAAATGTTTACAGTGAATATGAAACTATTTCCCTTTTGACTGGTGTGGTGTCTAGTGCAAAATATACCTGGGTTACATTGTTAAAACGTTTGGGGATACAGGGTTAAAGAGTAATTCCTGAAATTGTGTGAATTAAGTCATCTGAGGGTGAGCTGTTCAAACAAAATACCTTTCATTGTATGGAAAGTCTTTTAGATGAGTGCAGTCTGACAGCACTGTGTAATTGTCATATCTGTCCAAAAGGGAAAGATGAAATCTGTTTTACATATGGAAATGATTTGCATACTTTAAAAAGCAAAATGTTCTTTCTTCACAGGATGGTACAGAGGATTTGCCTTAAAAAACCCCAATGTTAAGGTAAAAGTCAATTGTAGTTTTGCATTCTTTGGCGAAAATGTATATTTACTTTTTAAAAGTTCATAGTCTCCATGTATGTATATAATGTTTACTCTTAAAATAAAACTAGAGCTTAGTCAAGTATATTATTGAAATTGCTTTACTTAGATTTGGACATGGATTACACTTCTGAAATGTTCCTGTGTATTAGGGTGGTACACTTTACAAATCTGAGGCTCTCGTGAATTTTCTTTCATTTACGATTTTTAGATTGTGAACTCAGAGGAAGCTAAGTTGAAGGGAAAAGACTACTGAGAATACAAATTGTAAATACTGTTGGAAAAGTTGGTTGGACTGTGCCCACTTTTCTTGATGTTTTGAATTAATTTAGAGCAGCCAGTGGAGACAGCTAGTTTATAGGAGCCACATGCAGAATATCAGCTGAATAAAAGATATGTATTGTCATGTAATATATGTGGTTCTTTTTATTTTTCTTTGTCGTCTTTGATTTCCATAGTAGTATAGCTGATAGTACTCTACACCAGACTTCACTGATTTTTTTTTCTACATTCAGTCATGAAATATTATGAAATTCATATTTCAGTGTTTGTTCATGTTGAATACATTTAAGCTTTACCTATCTTATTTGTCTTTCTATTTTCTTAATCTGTCCTGTTGACTTGCCTCTGTGACTGTAAAGATTGTTTTTCATATGGGAACCCATTTCAAGATTTCCTTTTTTTCCTCAACATTAGTACTAGAGTTTTTAGTCTTATTAAAGCCATTGAAGAAAGATCTTAAATCATCTGTTGCTCCTTTAACCTGCATTGTAAGCTTTGCTTTTTTCTTTTTTCATTTCCAAGCCCCTTCAGCTGCAAAATAGGGCACATATATGTTAATTTCCGAAGTTTCTAGGGGCTCATATCATAAGTCATTGGCCTTCTGTGCCTAGCCCTGCGGGCTCTGCTCATAAATTTCCTTTGCTTTATGTGGAAGATCAATGTGAACAATAAATTTAGTCAGAGTCTAATCTGATGTTTACTACTTTGACCTTATTGATACATATTGCAATTTGATTTATAAGACATGAGTGGTTGGGATTTGTTATTGCATCTTGTCTTTTGTTGCAATTCTCACCACATGCTTGCTGTCAGTCTTGCTTTCTGGTCTGTCAAATGTGTTGATAGAAGTTATGAACAGGTTTTCTAAACATGACTTGATGTGTGAAGAAATGAGATATATATTTTCTGCTTTCCTAGCATGAATGCAAATAGTTTTCTGAATTGGATTTTTGAAGGGAGTCTCTCCGAAAGTAAAATAATAAGCGCACCTTGTAACTCCACTTGTTATTGGTACCGCTCTGTCAAGATTCTTCCTTTGTTATTCTGCCAGCTTTGATGTTCAAAGAAATTATCTGTGAGAGCTGGTCTGCAGTAAGCGTGCATATGCAGCCATCCTGTTTTCTGGCACATCGTTACAAGTGCAAGGCTGTACATCTTACTGTCCTTGGCAGATGATCTCCTGAACTACTTTATGTTACAGAAGTGTAGGAGTATTTACAAGGGCAGTTGCCTCCGCATAGTAGATGCGTTTTTGTTGAAGGTCTAACGTCTGTGTTAAAAGAAAATGGGGCACCATCATCACAAAGGAAACCTGTATGCAGCTGTACTTATTATAAAGAGAACATATATGTATTTTCCCTAATTGCATTACGTAACAAGCTGTAGCGTATTACGTTCCCAGCCTGAAGCTGAGTTGCTTAATTTTGCTTATTGTTCTGATTTATGAAGGTTAGCATGCTGTAAGAGCAGTAGGACTGTTGCAGCAATGTTGTCCATTCAAAAGAATGCTGGAGAGCCCTTAAATAACTACAAAAGGACCATTCCTGACACTGAGGCTCTTTGGTAGGCATCTACCACAGCTTTCCCATGCACTGCAGGGCATAGTAGCCACCAAATAAAACTTTATTTTGACTACTTTCTGTATTAACTTAACTTTATTTTGATTGAACTTTGACTTTATTTTGCTTTATTTTGAAAATCCCTATCTGAAGATACTATTTTTAAGATGCTGTTGGTAAGATATCCCCCACAGTTGGTTCGTTTCTTGTCAAGGTGGGAATAATAAATAAAAATATCAAGGATAGGTGAGCTCTCAAGCAATCTTCTACATGTTCTACATGTGTTTATCTTCTAATTTTCTGAAATACTGAAGGATTTAAACTCTACTGAATATGGCATTTTAGATTTTGTTAGATCTATACTGAGTATACATTGCATTCTTTTTTGTGCATGTGTTTTGGTAATTATTTGGAGGACTTGTAATTCAGCATGCATTTGCATGTTAAATGGTACTCCATATCTCATGTAAGGGCAGTTTTTTGTTTTTAGCTAAACAATTTTTATTTTTCAGGGCATATTTCCGTCCAACTACATTCACTTGAAAAATGCCTGTGTTAAGAACAAAGGGTAGGTGAAATGTTCTGGATTCAAATATTTAAGCATGGTCAGTTGCTTGTCCCAAAGATCTTTTGCTTATAAGATAAAGCGGTGATTTCATTATGTTATAATATCATATCTTCAGCTTACTGCCACAGGACTTGAAATGGTTGTCCTTAACTAACCTGATACTTCTGCATGGTCATAAAATTGGAGTGACGTATTCTAAAAAGACATGGAGTACAATTGGGAATATCAGTCTGTATTGCCTCGAGGAAAGAGAAAACGATTGCTTGTTTTCACTTCCTGTTAAGTTTGGCTTGAAAAAGGTATTGCCTTAATTAGAAGTTATGCTGTACAGAAGCTGGCTATCGGCCTGCTGTTTAAGATTAGTTGTTTTCTCTGAGGACAGCAGCTGTATCATGGCAGATAACTGGCATTTTACCAACAAATAGTAAGATAATGTATCAGTTCAATGGCAAAAGATTTCACTAAAACTATAAATGGAGATGTTTTTTCCTTTACTTCTTTTCTTCAAGTGATGAAAAGCCAATGTTTATTTTTGACAAGTGATCTCTCTTCATTTTTAGACGAGTTAATAAAAACCAGAACAATTGGTTAAAACTAGTTAAATTTTGTTTTGGAACTCAAATGTTCTGACTAAAACACTCATTTTTATTTTTTTAGATGGAATACTTACCTTGACGGTATCACTTTTAAAAAATTTTTCATTTGTCAGTGATCTTAGTTCAACACAGTTTTACTTGATTTGGGAGCGTTCACATTGTATCATTTATTTAGATTTATTAATAGAGAACTGATAGGTAACAGTTTAAAACCTGTTTAGGTGAAGATATTTCTTATCATAATAGATGGATGCCTAAACATCAAGTGTAGGTGACCTTTATTTTGGGAGCATGAATGAGTGAGTAGAAGGTCGATGATTCATGATGAGCAAAAATAATCATGAAGACTAATAATATTAAAAAAGTCTCATTCCCACTGGTGAAAATGGCTCTACATTACTGCTAAACACTGTTTGTGATGGAGTTGAAGCCACATGTGGCTTGTCATGCTCTAGGATCCTTTCTCCTTTAAAAGTGGTTGTAGATAAAACTGAGGGTTCAGGGAAATAAAATTGTTATAAACCATCACAATAAAACAAAGCTTAAAGATAGAATAATTTTTGTTAGCAGACACCATGACAGTACTTGCAGGGAGTTCAATCTTTGGTGCCTCTATTTTCTTTGTTAGTATGTTTCCTATTCAGGCCATGTGCCCTACAGCACATCATGGCCGGGGCTGTCACATTGTTACGTTAACTTGATAAGAGTGAAATAATACCATGAGAAAAGTAATCCAGGCATGAATGCAAACCTTTGAAATATACTGTGTGTGAGAACAAAGTGGAAGTGATGGTGGTATGTAAAGTGATGGTGTGGTGGAGAGCTTGGTCTTGACCAAGCCAACCCAGCTTTTTCTTGGCCAGCATCAAATAGGCAAGAACTTGCTCACACTGTATTAGGTTTCTTTTGAGTTTTTATATCCTCTTTCAGTTGAAGGAATGGAATTTCCTGTCTTATTTCTATAAACAGAGATGTAAAGAATGGCAACAATCACTGGTTTGGAGTATAAGCTAAAGCGGCAAGATCCCTTTGGAAACTGTGGGAATTACTCTGCTGTGAAAGTAGTTTTTGACATCCTTATCTCATAGTAAAAAAACTCTCACTTTGACTTCTCTGGACCAAGACTTCCCATGAGGATAAAATTATTTTCACTCAAGACTTTTCCATGGGGGTTAAACGAAATATACAAATAAGTGTCATGGGCTGAAGGAGCACCCATGTAGGTTGATAGACATCACTGTTGGCAGGAGGAAGTCTTTATATTAGTAACTGCAATGGGATTTGTAGTGCTTGTGTAATATCATGTGTTCTTCTGCATGTTACAGACAATTTGAAATGGTTATTCCAACAGAAGATTCTGTTATTACAGAAATGACATCAACTTTAAGAGACTGGGGAACAATGTGGAAACAACTCTATGTGGCAAGTACCCTGAATAATGTTGCTTTGATTTAATGCCAGCTCAAAAGACAGTGTTGTTTAGGTGCTCTAGTTTAATTTAAATATGTATTTCAGAAAAAAGCATTCAGTTTGGTTTTTAACTGTTCTAATTATGGCTACTACTGCTGCTAAACTTCAGCAACTTATTGAGTCTTGTCCAGCTTCATCCTGTAGCTGTTGGATCTAAGGATTCCTTTGTCTGCTAAACTGAAATGTTGGAAATAAGTGTAACAAACAATATTGGTATTTTCTAGAAATATATTAATGAAAATCTCTCAGCCAGTTGATTTGATTTATACGCATTTTCTCAATGTTTTTGTTTCCTCTCACGTCCAGTCACAAGTGCTGAGATGTGTCCATGCTATTTGACCAGGAACTCTTGCATATGACTTAGATCAAGGGATGCCAGCTATTGAGTCCTCATTGCTGAGGGAGGCTGGGGCGTGATTCTTGATTAGCAATAGTGAACTGATTTTGGATTTGCCTACCACACATCACAGAAATGGATTCTGGTTTTGAAATTCTTCCTTATCTCACACTTTTAAGTTTTACTTAAAAGTCCCATGTTTCACAGTTCTCTTGTTTTCCTTATCTGGATATTTTGTGGCTCTGGTCTTTTTCTCCCTCTGACATCTTCAGGTCAGTTTGTTTCTCTCCTTGTTTGAATGAAATAGCACCTCTGCTGTACCATGGTTATTAGTGCCTACCTTTCCTTATTCTGTCATTTCTTCTCGTACTTTTTATATACATTTTCATATTTCATTCATACCAGTCTTAGTAATTCTATTACAATTCCCTACAGAGTGCCCCTCTATGAAATTGTTCCACTTTAGATACTTAGTCTTACCTTTCTGTTTTACTATCTTAGTAGATTCCTCTTCTCAAATTTCACTTTAAATCATTTTTTTTAGCCTTAACCATTCCTGTTTTCTGAACTTATGCTGTATTTTCTATTGCATTTCTGGACTAAGAACTGGATATACTGTTCCAATAGCAGTTGTGTGAGCACCAAACACAAAGTAGCAATAGGCAACTATTCTTTCTTTCTCAGAGAACACCTGTGGTGTGTGTTATTTCTATAATTTCCATTTACCACTCCATCGCTCTGTGCTCACTCTGTAAATGTGGCCTCTCCAATTCTGTAATTACCTCCCTTAAAAACTTTAGTTGAAGCAAAGATTATATCAATAAAAACGTTTGTGTTTTTTTTTAATTAGGGTAGGGAAACTTTTTTTGCATAGAGAAAACTCTTCCAAACTCAGCCACCTGATGGTTTCCTATTTATAGTCTTGTTTTGAGTCACTAGTCAGTTAAGCAGCTCTTACTCCATTATATAAATCATACTGATGTGGGATTATTCTACTTTATTTATCTAAATATTGTGCAGTATCAATAGGATCTTGGATACAAGCTCCCTAGACTGTTTTTTACTCCCATGTCTCCTGAGAACCTGCTGCAATCTCCCATTCTTTTGAGAGGTTTCAGATCAGTGACTTACTTTTTCACTGTAAGAAATCATACCATTTCCTTCTCTTAATTGGCTACCACCATAGATAGAAATTTTTTTGTTTCAGTGTACTTACAGCACACAGAAAGAAACCAGTTCAATATCCCCCTTTATTCTCACTGAAATTCAGCCTTCCCTGACCATTCTGCGTCTTAACTTTTTTTGCACATCATAATCTAAGACATAATATTTGCTGTAATTTCTTTTTTCCACGCCTACTTCTGTTTCCTCTATTATGCCTACTTCTATTTCCTCTGTTAACTTTTTTACTTGACTGTAGAGTTGTGTTTTTAAAGGTTTAATTAAAATATTTTAGTGTTAAATTGTGATTTGCATCGTGATTGTCTTCAGTTTTTAACAGTTGACCTAATCTACTACATTATAATCAACCATGGTTTGGAGATGGCAGCATGGGCACATATAAAATGTAATAAAAACCTGTTCACTTATATCTAGATAGTCTCCTACCCCTCATCTTAACTCATTGCTGAGTCGATAATTGAGTTAAATTGTGAGAAGATTAGCTACCTTCTGCTTATACAGGGGCTGCTTCTGCTACATAAGAAACAGCAATGAGTGGTGCCAATAGACCTACTACAAGTCAGGATGGTACAGAAGTAGCCAGTCTGTAACCTTTTTGAGATGATTGTATGGATCGTGTTCAGAGAGGCTGTTCAGAACCAGGTGACCTTTCTGAAACCTGCAATTGGAGCAGTTGCTAATTTGCTTAGTGAAAGTCTTTATACAAGAACCTACAAAATCAAGTATTTGTTTGTCAAGTACTTGTTTGTTGCATTCTAAGTAATAGAGTATCATTTTAAACTTGACAGTGAAATCGTGATTAAGCAGTATGAACAGTTTCAAGAACAGAAACAAGAGACTTCCTTCAAAGCTTGTTTGAAACTTCTCTAGATTATAATGGGAAGTAGTTTTCTTGAATGTGTGAAGTGTATCTAAGTGTGACTGCTTTGTGTATATTAGCAAGTAGTCTATTGGCTTCTCCTGGAACAAAGGAGCAAAAATATGATCCCTTAGTGTAGAGACCTAAATCTATAAAGGAAGCACAATTGCTTGTGGATCCACTCAGCACTTTGAGATACAAACAACTCAGACAAATTCTAAAGCTTTAGAAAAGAAAGGATACCTGAAAATGTTATTTTGAGCTTAATAGTGTTGTTAAACACTAGCATGTCTCTTGTATTCCCATGAATAATTTACTTCAGTAGAGCTTATCATCAGATACTGAAAACAAAGATGCACTGGAATTAGTATTTATTTGATTTGTTTTTTTAACTGTAGAAATGAAATTTTTATACAGTAGTGTCTGATGGAAAACTGAAAACATACTATCAGCTTAGTTCTCTATAATATTCCTATAAAGTCTCTTTTGTCTCTTGCTCCTAATTCAAGGGCTTTTTGTATAACTTTTTTGTTTTCTTTTACTTATAAAGTTCATATATTCCTATTCTTACTGAAGTTGTTTCTTTTTTGGCAACTTTTCTCTTCACTGCTGTTGTTATTGCATCTTCAGAATACACTGGCTTGCTTTTTTTTCCAAACAAAACCAAGACAAACAATAAATTAATGCCCATTTTAGTGAGCTTATGAATTGAAGGAATGTGAAATAAAAAGAGCAGATTTATCAAATGGCAGTTTGTCAGAGCCCTTGGAATATCAAAGTTATTGACAGAGAGTAATGGTGCTTCTAAGTGAATTTTAAGTTTTCATAGCAATTATGCAGCAAAAATAGCTGAACTTTGTTTTTATGCCATTTGTTCATAGGGAGAAAGAAAAGGGAAATGGGCTTAGGGTTTTTTGGCAAGAATTTGCAGAACAAATCTGAATAGGGATGTTTTTTCGATTTTGTGTGATGCATCACTTAAGTGGAGGTTGCAATAACTTCCTCAAGCTAAAGTTTCTCAGAAAAACTATATCAAGTAAAACCACTTAGAATTGGTGAACGAGGAGTTAAAAGAACTTCTGTTTGGGAGGAAACTGTTATGGGAAATTGTTTATGTCCTTACCTGGTATTATAATTAGAGTAGGAGGATGTGGTTTAAAAAGCGATCGTATTCACATCATTTCTCCTACTTCATCGTTAGGTGAAGAACAACTGCCTGGACAAGATGCTGTCTATGTGATACTATTTACTTATGGCTAGACAGTAGTGTGTACAGTTCTATCCATGCAAGAAAAAGTTAAAAGGACATTAACACTCTGGTTCAGAGTTTGCATGCTAGGAGCTATTACCTTTTTATTCCCTTATGCATATGAGTTCAAACAGTTTTGAATTACGTCATCACATACTCAGTTTGGATGAGACAGCAGCACAAAATAAACATGCCCTTGGAATAAAACAGTGCTATGGCATGAAACAATTTTTTTGTTGAATTTTTGTTATATCTGTCACATAAATTAGACTGTGTTAACATGAGGCGTAAGGAGTTGGAGTAAAATTTTGGAGTGAGTGTGGTGCAAAGATGGGGTCTGTGGTAAGCTGAAATGATTTTATACACGTGCACACACACATGTGCAGGTTAAAATGGTCACAGTACGATGGGAAGAAAAAAGAAGTAGAAGAATAAGGAGTTTTCTTGATTTCCCCACCATATCTGTGTTATTAGGATTGTCAGTTTATACAGGTGATGTAGAGGCAATTATATTTTTATCTCACAGAGGAATGAGGGGGATCTCTTTCACCGACTGTGGCACATAATGAATGAAATCCTAGACCTGCGAAGGCAGGTCCTTGTCGGCCATCTCACCCATGATCGAATGAAAGATGTCAAACGACACATCACTGCTCGCCTGGATTGGGGCAATGAGTGAGTAAATATAATAAATGAAAATAGTGTAATGTAATTATAATGCCACAGCTTTAGGCTCGTTGTAGAATGTTGAAATGAGGAACAAATTTGACAGGCGTTACCCTTTTTTAATGGACTTTCTCCTTCATTGTTTTTCTGTCCGCTATGTTTTAACAGTGAAAAGTGACTCGTCGTTTTATTTTGCTATTTTTCTGTTTTTTACATAGCAGTGGTATGGTCTACAAGAGAATTGCATTGGAATATCTGCAGCATCCTTTTACATCTTCTTAAAACATACCTGGCCAGATTCCTATGTGAAGCAGTTAGCATAGCTCTGTTGTCTTAACTGAAACTATATTGGCTGACATTGCTTCCTTTTTGACTTGTGTCACATGATTCAGTTCCTACTTGGGCATCTTTAACATACATCTTGCTACTATACTCTGCATTTTTCTTTTATCTGAGTAACTAATAAGAGCTAATGCAAATTGTATTATCTTTTTTTTAAAGTGAGAAAATGGTTAAAATACCTTTGGCATTTGGGTGCTGTTTCCAAGGTCTTTTTCTTTAGCCTATATTTATTCACTTGAACTCTGACTAAATGCAGCACTATTCAATAGTAGAATTAACTGAATTTCAGGGGTTTCTGCTATCTGAAAGCCTAAATACCTATCATAGTGGAAGAATTGTGATTAACTGTGTATGATTAGCTGTCTGCTTAGAATTTTGTGCTAACCGAATGGAATTGTGATGGTTTTTCAAGCGGTCAGTTCCTAGGCTTTAAAAACATATTTTTAAAAAACCTAATCTTTCAAGTTTTTCTAAATTCAGCATGACTGCCCCATATGTGTTCTTAATCTTTACTGCTTGCCGCTGTGCTGAAAATAAGTTTTATTCCTGTTGACTCAAGTTCATTTCATTATTTTGTTCAGGGGATACAGCCAAGCAGCTTTGATGCCATCCAGTCCAAATTAAAAATAAGCTGATGTTTTGGCATTTGGTGGATTTTCTTTTCCATGGTTGTCATTCAAATTGATAATACAATTCACATTGTACAATGTTCACAATAGTACAAAGGACAGTATCCATTGTACATAGTCCATAATGTGAATCAGATTTAAAAATTGTGGAAAAAGTATTCTATTAATGTTACAAAGTGAAAGGGGAGGAATTGTCTGTCAATGGTGAATACCGCCAAAATACATTAAAACAAAACCAAACCCAATTGTAGAGTACCAGTGAACATGTACATTGTTTGTTGGAATGTTTCTGTTAAATGTAAATAGAAGCAATGAGTTAATTTGTTTCCTTTGTATGTAGAAACTACTTAACTGTTGTTCCATTTCTCATACAGACAACTGGGACTTGACTTAGTTCCAAGAAAAGAATATGCTATGGTGGATCCTGAAGATATCAGCATTACGGAGCTCTACAGGCTGGTATGTAAATATAATACTCAGTACTTTTGTTATCAAACTGCATACTGATGTTTTGATGGCAGCTTTCTTCTACTTAACCAAAAGTACTTTTTTGGTCATATAAACTGGCATTTCATAATGTAATGAGTTTTACTATCAGAAAGACGTTTTCTTTTGAGCAGTTAGGTCATCTCTACATCTGTATGAGATGCTTTTATTTGACATCAAATTTGTGGGTGCACACATCTCATTTTACATGTTAAGTTTTATTTTCTGATATATCATTAAAATTGTGACTGTTAACATGAATCTAATCATCAAGAAAAGCTTATGAGACTCTCTTTCATTAGAGCTTTACCGGGCCCATGAGTCCTGTTAGATAAGATTTGTGGAAATATAATGATATGCTCATGGTAGAAGTATTGTCACAATTAATCATACTGGGCTATTGGTCTCTTCTAATATATTAATGTAAATAGCAGTTAAACTGCATGGGAAAGCTCTCCTTTGGGTATAAAAGCCCATCTTGATTTACGAAAACCAACACTGATATTTCTTATTCTGATTTAATCTCCAGTGAGGTCTAAGAAAACTTGCCAATTCGTTTATGTGGGCTTTGGCCCATATTTAAGTTCTGCAGCTGTTACAGATATACAGTTCTGATTCTTACTTGCTTAAGACTAAGCTTTTATTTAAACTAAATTTTATTTATGTTAACTTTTGTATTTAAATATAGAAGAAAGCAAAAATATAATTGCTACAATTTTCTGTGGAACTGAAGTTATATTATTTTTGATAATTTTTAGATACTTACATTGATAACTTGTAATGTCAAGCCTAATAGTAATTTCTTCATGCTAGAATCAGTATACCTTAGGGTAGTTTCAAAGTCATATGTGATCTTGCGGAATCCTGTTGAAGCACTAGATGAAATACAGTGAGGAACCATTAATCATAAGAAGAAACATATAGAGGAAGAATAACCCAGAAACTAATAATGGAACTCATGGAGTGCACTCTCAAAAATAGAGGGGGGAAAAAAAAAAGCCCAAGATAACCTCAGTTTGAAGACTAGCTTAGAAAGATTGCTGTTTAAATTATTTTTAGTACAACGTAAGAGAGAAATAGTACAACTTAGTATTGTCCTACTCTTAATGGGTGATTACAATGGTGAAGGTACAAACCGTGAAGTCAAATCAAGAGAATTTAGTAGCTGCTATATAGCAGTTTGCTAAAGATTATAAAATATGGACGTGGTTTTTTCCATTTTAAAGTACTGGTATTTAGTCTTCTGCAAAAGCATTTTTTGTGTGTTTGAATACTAGAATATCAGATGATTAACTATTGAAACCAGCTATGAAATACTATATTGTTACAGCACAAAGCTTTAAAGTGGCTTAGAATTTTCAGAGTAGAAAAAAGGTAAACCTCTAGAGGTTACTATTTTTTTCTCCTAGAGATAATTATGATGGATTGCAACACAGGGAAAGCCACTTCCTTGTGTTCTCAGATTAAAAAAAAAAAAAGAAAAAAAACTATTACAAGCTAATATTGAATTAAAAATTTAAAAATTGGGATTAAGAAAGTAGTTCAGTATTACATTTTTTACCTCTGTTTTGAGATTTTTACGATTAAGTCAAACTGGCTGCTGTGTTGCTTGTGGTATTTTTAGATGGAGCATCGTCATCGAAAAAAAGACACACCAGTACCAGCTAGCAGCCACCATCTCTTTGTTCAGATGAAAAGTCTAATGTGCTCCAATCTCGGAGAGGAACTGGAAGTAATCTTCTCACTCTTTGATAGTAAAGAAAATCGGCCAATCAGGTACAATATGATTTTTCACTGGAATACTGATTTTACATAAGTTTTGTCAATATAGACTGTATGTCTTGATCCAGATAACAAATTTCACACTTAGAAACAGGCAGAATATTGTCTTGATTCAGGATAATTTTTTGCTTCCTTTTGAAATTCAGTTTCTCTACTTAATAGTGTGTAGTATTGTTTCAGATTAAATAATGTATATTTCCATATTGTTTACCTGTTTCAGTTAGTTTTGATGTGTAGAAACATATATACATGTATGCCTACAGAGTGAATGTTAGTTCTGTGAACTAAAGGTCATTTTTCAGTATCTCTATTTGCCTCTCTCCTAATCAGTGCACATTCAAAACTTAGAACTGTTGCTTGCTCTGTAATATTTGAGATTAATTCTCCGAGGTACATGAGACTGGAGGGCTGCCCTTAGTCAGTGAATTAAGACTCTTTTTATAAAAGAAACCTGTACTTCAATGAGGAGGTGCCTGCTCTTCAGTGAAACAGTCAAACCCAATCTCACATCCACTTAGGGTTTGTTTGGCCTCTTTTTTTCGGCTGGGAACTGATCCTGGAACCATTCTTTTTCTGTTTGTCGTAGTGCTTAAATTCTGTGAGAGCCCTGAAAACCTTTGCTTTTTTAAATATTCAGTAGTTATTTCTACTCCCAGCACACTTCTGGCCAAGAGAGAACATGGGAGTGAGTAGTAGCAGAACCACTATGCACTTAATAAATGTGAGCACAGGAGGAGAGCAGAGTAAGTGCAAGAGCTTTGTAAGTTCTGTTTGAGTAATATGCCAGGAAGACTGAACCAGTAAATGCTTGTGCAGTGGTGATGGGTGTGGTGGGTTGACCCTGGCTGGACACGAGGTGTCTGCCAGGCTACTCTATCACTCCCCTCAGCTGGACAGGGGAGAGAAAACATAACAAAGGGCTCCTGGATCAAGATAAGCACAGGGAAAGATCACTGGCCAGTTACCGTCATGGGGAAAACAGACTTGACTTGGGGAAAATTGATTGATTTGATTGGTAGTAAATTAAAAGTAGAGTAATGAGAAATAAAACCGAATCTTAAAACACCTCCTTTCTTCCCGGCCTCATCTTCGCTCCTGAATTCTCTACCTCCTCTCCCAGTGGCACAGGGGAATGGGGGTTGCAGTCTGTTCATCACACGCTGTCTCTGCTGCTCCTTACTCCTCAGGGGGAGGGCTCCTCACACTCTTCGTCTGCTCCAGTGTGGGGTCCCTCCCACAGGAGATCTCCATGAACTTCTCCAATGTGAGTCCTTCCCACAGGCTGCAGTTCTTCACAAACTGTTCCAGCATGGGTCCCTTCTATGGGGTGCAGTCCTTCAGGAGCAGACTGCTTCAGCCTGGGTCCCCCATGGGGTCACAAGTCCTGCAGGCAAACCTGCTCCAGTGTGGATTCCTCTCTCCATGGGTCTGCAGGTCCTGCCAGTAGCCTCCTCCAGCATGGGCTTCCCACGTGGTCCTTTGGGCATCCACCTGCTCCAGCGTGGGGTCCTCTGCAGGCTGCAGGTGGATATCTGCTCCACTGTTAGCCTCCGTGGGCTGCAAGGGGACAGCCTGCCTCACCATGGTCTTCGACATGGGCTGTAGGGGAATCTCTGCTCCAGCACCTGGAGCACCTCCTCCCCCTCCTTTGCTGACCTGGGTGTCTGCAGAGTTGTTCCTGTCACATATTCTCACCGCTCTCTCCAGCTGTGGTGGTTGCTGTGCAGCAACTTTTTCCCCTTCTTAAATGTTATGACAGAGGCGCTACCACTGTTGCTGATGGTCTCAGCCTTGGCCAGCTGCAGGTCTGTCTTGGAGCTGGCTGGCATTGGCTCTATCAGACATGGGGGAAGCTTCTAGCAGCTTCTCGCAGAAGCCACCCCTGTAGCCCCCCCACTACCAAAACCTTGCTATGCAAACCCGATACAATGGGAGATCACCTTCTGGTCAGAAGGCACCCATTCATCATTTGCTGCTGGTTGTTGGCCACTGTATTCTCTGCTCTTTTCACAATAGAAAGAACATGTTCTGGAGGCAACAAACATCATCTCCTTTAAGACTGGCCACTAGAGGAATGAAAGACTAGACTTCAAAACAAAAACCACTTCAACTAAGACAGCTCACAAATGCTTGAAAAGAAATATAAGCTACTGCCGTAAGCCTGTTAATAGGTAAAAAGTGTTACTCAAAATGTGTACAAAGCCATGACTGTGTACACTAGTTGTTGTCTTGTATATCGTAATAGGAATTTGGGAACTATGTGGAATTTGGGCTGAATTTGACAAAATTATATCTGTGCTTTGTAGCTGGGCAAATAACTAACCAGTGCTTTGAAGGAAGATTATACTGAGTAAATTGATTTTTATTGTTAATGAAATCTCACATAAGCAACTATTCTTACAATGTTAGCTGCTAAATACTGACACTTCATTTTGGCCTGCACTTTGGATATTAGTCACCAAAATGCAGTTTACTGTCATTTCTGAGAATTAAATGTGCATCAGGGCACATCTCTTGTGTTCACTCCAGTGAATGCCACAGGAGGTGATAGATTTAGGAGAGAGCTTCAGACCTTGACAAAAAACAATTTGGGTGTTATGGATTGCTGAAAACAAGGTTATGGCAGCAGTGGTAGTATGAAAGCAAATGGATTGGATTTCATGTTCACATGAAAGCACACATTCTAGAGCTTTGTCACATGCTTGCTGTGATCTGACCTTTAGTTATTGATTTCTGACTCCAGTGTCTGTTTGCAGCTGCTTTATTATGTGCGAACTTCCTCATCCCATTACTGGCAAACCTTGAAGTATGTTGCCATGAATCCAAACTGCCTTCTAGGACATGGGGGGAATGACAAAATGAACTTTGTGAAGGTGGTTTGCAACCATCTGCAAAACAAACAAACATACACCCCCACAACAACAAAACCACAACAAAAAACCCTCCCAAGAAACAAACAGATGTCTCAACATGCTGAAAAAGCTGAAACCAAGAGAGTTTTCACAAGAACAAATTAGGTGCAAGGTATATCTGTATCACAGGATGAACTCTGGAATGCAGAGGTGGCCAAGCTGGAGATTTATATGGTCTTTCTGGACTAGACCTGGAAGTGACATAACCAGGTTATCCCAGAGTTAAACCAAAGCTAGTTGGTCTTGGTGCACAAGAGTATGGTATGATGTATAATTTTTATTCAGTACAAATGGGTGGGATAGTTCAGAGATCTTTAGGCCCTGGTTGATGCATGCATGAAATGAACAGCCTGCCTCAGAAAGATGATGTAAGAGAGGAGACAGTGTCTGCAGCTACTGCAGTTCACACCCTGCAATGACGCCAAAGCTTACTGGCAATAATAGAGTTGTGGAGCCTGGATATGAGGATTCTTCTGCTTGTTTCTGATGACAGTGCAGGTCAAAAGCTGTGTGTGGCAACACCTTAAAGTCTGTCACAACCTAGCTGCTGTTGGTTTCCTAAGTTGCTGTCTTGTGGTCCAGTAGAAAAACACAATGAAAATAATAGATGAAGCTTGTTAATAGCACAGATAAACTTAAGGAACTATACATGATAATTTATTTCCTGAAACAAAGATCTTTGATTAAGAATAGAAGTATATGAATATACGTGACTTAAAATGTATTTCTTCAAGCTGCTGCTTATGGTATTAGAATTTTTGGGTTCTGTTTCTTTGGACTCTGTTGCTTTTTACCTCAAGTTTCAGTTTTGCAAGCACTATATTTGTACCAAGCTTTTCTCAGGTGGGTAGTCCTGCTTGTTTTAATGAGACCATTTGAATGCATAATGTTAAGTACAAGCTCACCGGTGCAACTGCTCCAAAAATGTGGCTTTATGTGGATGCTAGTATAGTGTTCGTTGTTCATCTGATGTAAATTGACATAAAGCAAGTGATCTCTGTAGCCTCTTGAACAAAGAGTTCATTTGGAGAGAGTAAAAATAGCAGAAGAGAGATTTAATGATAGAATTTCTGCTCTGATATTTTTCTTAAGACTAACTTAGCTTCTTATGAGGTGGACCTACAAATGTAAGATTGATCTCTATATTTCATCTTTTGTAACCTCAGGTTTATGTAATTGAAATAGCAGCTTTAAAAGATTGTTGGAGCACTAGAAGCAATGTTATCTGATTACTTTTTTAATTGATTGCATATCTTTTTCCACAGCCTCTTTTTGTTTTATGTTACCCGTTTTTTACATTCAGCTGTTCGAACAGAAACATTTGTTCAAGTATCATGTTTATAGATACTGAGGTGGGGCAAGTATCTACAAAAAGGAGTAGTAAGGCTTTAGGAAGGTTGAGTATAGCAGCTCCCTTCCTAGTCCAGCTGCAGACTAGTGCAAGAAAAAGCAGCCTCTGGGCAGGATGCTCTTATTCAAAATGGTTAGCAGCATTTGGAAAGAAATACAGCATGTTCGAGCTCATAGCTCACCTGGCTTCTTCATGTTACAGGCCTGCAAGGAACTGCAGCATATAAATGATATTTTGCAGCATTTTTCTTTGAGATTATCTTAATGTATAAATCTATCTGTATATTGTTGCAGAGTTTATACAGAATATTTTCATTAAATTTTGAGTATTTATACATTACTGATAAGAGGATGTCATTTTTACTAACATGCATAAAACAATTTTTTTGTGATAGTGACTTGGCAAATTTGCAATTACTGATTTTTCTGATCAACTGTAGTGTCGAATACTTTGAAAGGGTTTGATTTTTCTCTTCCTTTATTTTGAAAATATCTGAGTTATTAATAATGTGGATTAGCATGTTACCATGTGGAAAAGTCTGCTTTGGAAAAACAAGGAAAAAAGAAGGTACTTGATAACATAGGGAAGGTATGGTTTAATAGCTGAGCTTTATATCTAAGTGCAAGAATAAGGTTGTCCTTAGGCAACTGTAAAGTTGTAGTTTTCTCAGGCAACAGTAAGAACTGATCAGGCTTACAATATAGTTATTGAATAATGAAAGGTAATGAAAC